TAAGTGATTCATCGTATTCCTTTGAGTGGGGAATGGTGAGGGTGGATCATGGTGTAGATGATCTGTCCGGGTTCCATAGAATGAACCAATGAGTCGGTACCGCATGCATGGTGTTGTGTTGCATATTTGCATTATGGTGTATATGTTGATTGTGGACTATATGTCGTGATTGTTGAATGTTGGGTGATGAGTTATATGCTTTGTAATTACTGCCTTATTTCATGTATGTAATTACCAATATATATTTTGATCATGTTTTCTCACCCCTCTGTTGTTGTTGTGGTCTGTGCTTCTCCGGAAGTACAGATAATCTAGGTACTTAGCTAGCTTGGATTATGGTGTGCCAGTCGAGTCTAGGATGCTCTGATACGTAGCACGGGACTTGGGTGTTTTGTTATCGTCTGTTGAACTTGTATTTTATTTTCCTGTGAACGTATCAAAATTTGTTGGATTTTACTATTTTGTTATTTTCCGCTGTACTTTGGAGAAAACCTCTTTAAAGGAAATGTTGGTTTGCTATGTGATATCCCACTTGGGAAGAAATACTCTGATGTTTATTTATAATGTTTATTATTTTAATTGTTTTGGGAAGTGGGGTGTTACAATGGCAACATTACCCTTGGGTTCCTCCTCCATGCCCTTAACCATCTTATTGGGCTAAACCCAATATTGGCCCAATATCAACAATCTGGTATTCTTGGACCAAAACCCTAACCTGCTGATTTTACTGCCACTGAACCAAGTCCAACAGATATTGAAGCGGCTCTTCACACTCTACATCATGCTCAATCTGACCCATCCTGGTATATGGACACTGGAGCAACATCTCACATGATATCTACAAATGGTAATCTCTCATCTTATTTTAACTTGAGCAAAAATAATAGTATTATCGTAGGAAATGGCCATTCTGTTCCGATTCATGGTTTTGGAAATGCTAACTTACCTTCACCTCATCCTCCACTAGCTCTATCAAATGTCCTTCATGCACCGAAATTAATAAAAAATTTAATTTTCGTTCGAAAATTCACTACCGATAACCATGTTTCTGTTGAATTTGATCCGTTTGGTTTTTCTATGAAGGATTTTAAGACGGGGATGGTTCTAATGAGATGTGAGAGTCAAGGCCAGCTATATCTTATCACCAACATAACAAAAAATAAGACCGTTTTCCTTCCGAATTCGCATCTTTATCCACTTCTGTTTGGCACGACCGTTTGGGTCACTCGGGAGCATCTATTTTAGATTCTCTTAGAAAAAATAAAATGATTAATTGTATTCCTAATTCCAAAATAAATTCAACCTTTTGTCATTCTTGTCCTCTTGATAAACATGTTAAAATGCCTTTTATTGACTCACATAACTCCACTTTTATGCCATTTGATATATTACATAATGATGTATGGACATCTCCCGTATTGAGTACTTCTGGTCATAAATATTATGTGCTCTATTTGGATGACTATTCAAATTTCTTGTGGACTTTTCCGATTTCACACAAATCACAAGTTTTTTCCAACTTTTGAAAATTTAAGAGCATATATTAAAACTCAATTTTATCGGGAAGTTAAAAATATTCAGTGTGATAATGGTAGAGAATATGTCAATGGCCCCTTTCAAAAACTCTGTGAAGCAAATGGAATTTCATTTCGTCTCTGATGTCCTCATACTTCTTCTCAAAATGGCAAAGCTGAACGAAAAATCCGCTCTATTAATAATATAATTCGGATTTTACTAATTCATGCTTCTTTACCGCCAAAATTTTGGCACCATGCTCTCCAAATAGCAACTTAACTACTAAATATTTTACCAAATAAAAAGTTGAAATATAAACCACCTCTCAAAATTCTTTTTCAAAAAGATCCATCCTACACCCATCTACGAGTCTTCGGTTGTTTATGTTACCCTCTCTTTCCATCAACCACTATAAATAAACTCCAATCTCGTTCCACCCCATGTGTCTTCTTAGGATATCCTTCAAATCATTGTGGGTACAAATGCTATGACCTATCCGAAAATAAAATCATTATTTGTCGCCATGTCATATTTAATGAATCAGAATTCCCTTTCTCAAAGTTGCACACTCTTAATCCAAACAATTATCAATTTCTTGATAATGAAGTGTTACCTTACATAAATCACCTTATCACAGAAACTAGCCCAGGTCCAAAGACACCAAACATCACTCAACAAAACTATCCACCATCTGCTCAACTAGGACTGGCCCCAACTCCCCCCGCGTTTCGGCCACAACCCCAACCTAACCAAACACACCGAACTGAAATACCTACCTTAGACGAACCTACCTCTCAACCGAACCAAACTTTGCCTTCCACCTCTACTCCACCAAATATACCATTTCCTGCTATTTACCAAACTACAGTTAGTTCTGACAACAAACCTGTTACGAGAAGCCAACATGGCATTTTAAAACCCAACCAAAAATACATCAATCTTCACACCGAAGTCATAAAATCTCCTCTCCCTCGTAACCCTGTGTTAGCACTAAACAACCCGAATTGGAAAATGGATATGGATGATGAATACAATGCTCTTATTCAAAATAAGACGTGGGATTTAGTTCCACGTCCACCTGATGCAAATGTTATTCGTTCTATGTAGATATTTAGGCATAAAGAAAAATCTGATGTTCTTTTGAGAGGCATAAAGCCCGACTTGTAGGTAACGGTGCAGGTCAGCAGGTTGACATAGATTGTGGAGAGACCTTTAGTCTGGTTGTCAAACCAGCCACCATCCGAACAACACTCAATATTTTCTTATCTAAAGCATGGAAAATTCATCAGTTAGACGTCAAGAATGCTTTTCTACACGATGAACTCAAAGAAACAATGTATATGCATCAACCTTTGGGCTTTAAAGATCCAAATTTTCCTCATCATGTTTTTCATCTGCGAAAATCTTTGTATGGGCTCAAGCAAGCTCCAAGAGCGTGGTACAAACGATTTACAAATTATGTATATTCTATGGGATTCTCTCAAAGCAGGTCAGACAACTCTCTTTTCATCTACCGGAAAGATACACACATGTCCTATTATCTTCTTTATGGGGACGACATCATTCTCACTACGTCTTCTGATGATCTTCGCAAGTCTATAATATCACGACTTAACTCTGAGTTTTCTATGAAAGACTTGGGACCACTAAGTTATTTTTTGGGTATTGCAATTACTTGGCATAATGGTGGCTTGTTCTTATCTCTGAAATGTATGCAGATGAAATTCTAGAGCGAGCATGCATGTCATCATGAAAATCATGTCCAACTCCGGTTGACACTAAACCGAAGCTTAGCGCCAAGACTAACACTCCCTATGAAGACCCATCATTATACCGTAGCCTTGTCAGTGCTCTCCAATACCTCACTTTCACGAGACCCGGCATCACATATGCGGTAAAGCATATATGTATTTTTATGCATGACCCCATGGACGATCACATGCACTCTCTTCGCCGCATTTTGCGTTACATTCAGGGAACCAGTCACTATGGCTTACATCTCTATCCATCATCCACTACATCGTAGATCTCTTACACTGACGCAGATTGGGGAGGATATCCCGACACTAGACACTCTACCTCTGGTTATTGTGTTTTTCTTGGAGAGAACTTACTATCATGGTCGTCCAAACGTCAACCCATATTGTCTTGATCTAGTGCTGAAGCTGAATATCGTGGAGTTGCCAATGTCGTCTCTGAGTCATGCTGGTTACGTAACCTTCTTCTCGAACTTCATTGTCCGATACACAAAGCTACTATGGTATACTGTGATAACGTTAGTGCCATATATCTTTCCGGTAACCCTGTTCAACATCAACGTACAAAAAATATCGAGACGGACATTCACTTTGTACGTGAAAAAGTAGCTCGTGGACAGATACGCGTCCTGCATGTTCCGTCACGCTATCAAATTGCAGATATATTCACCAAGGGTCTTCCCCTAATACTCTTTCAAGATTTCCGAGACAGTTTAAGCGCCAACCTCCCGCTTCAACTGCGGGGGTGTGATAGAACATGACAACATACATTCTATAGTTGGAATAAATATTGTACACTAATGAGATAAAAGTAAAATAATATTTACATTGATTAGACATAATTAGGTATGATTAGTTCTCCAATTGTGAAATTGTAATTCCTGTATATATCACATGTTGATGATCAATAACAGATACAGAAATATTTTCCTATAGATATAAATAACCAACAAAAACACAAGAATCTTAACTACAAAGTATTCTCGAGCTTACCTCAATACTGAATCAACACAGATATCCTGGGCCACATTGATTTGGACCTACTTCACTCCTCCTTCTCACTCATTCATTCTATGGCAATTGATTCATAGACACAATTCCAACCTCGTCCATGTTTGAGTTGTTCGTATGGATCTTCATCCATACCACTCACGTGATTTGGACAGCAAGGAACACCAACAGATTCATCGACTCTAAATCTTGAGGGCATGCAACTACAATCGAGATCGGCTTTCATATGGATGAGCTCATACATCTCCAAATGCTAGGTGTCAAACAATCAAATTGAGTTGAAAATGCTTTGCAAGCTTTGAATCGAGCCAAAGTACAGGAAAACACCTAAGATCACAATAGTTTTCTAATGCAATAATGAGATTCAACACTAGAATAGAAAAGTGTTGTAAATGGTATCTGGATAATTTCAGTAGTATAAACATATAGTTTTCTTTGGTTTTTGAATCTTTTCATAAAAATGATTCTTGCCCATGAGGGAATTTGTTTCTGAAAACTGATGTTAGTTCAATTTATAGCAAGACTCGTTATTATTCGATTGGAAAGATGGCAAGGTCAATTTCAAATAAGGAAGATTTCTGAAAAGTAAAAGTCCCAAGAAGCTTTATTGCCATTGACACTGTCTTGGAAAGCAAGGGAAACAAACGTTATAAAGTTATTCATGACCATCTTACACATTGTGATCTTAGTGATCCCTTAATCCTAAACAGTTTGAGCTCATTTATTGCTAAACGTCACAACTTGCAACATTATAATGCAAAAGAGTATCATGAATAAAAACACACAATAATTAATACCAACAAAAACAGGATACAAGAATTGAACACAACTAAACAGGACACGAGCACACAGCTTTATACCAATTGAACATGAACAAGAAGATTTAGCATTCAACTTCTCCATCTTTTCTGTCAGAGGAATAATTCGCTGTTGTTGGTTATCTTCATTTTCAGGTCTAATTTCTTGATGTTGTGACTCGTTAGTATCAAATTTCAAATTCTGATTACAATCATCAAAACCTTTAGCCATGAATTGTAACTCATTAATATCATCAGAATCAGATAGTTGAGGGTTGGCTGGTATTTCAAAAATTTCAACTCCACTACGTTTCAAGTCATATACAGGGATTACTCCACAACCCTTGATCTCCTTTGTTGACAACACTTTCACATCATTTAGGTCAAAATATGTGAATTCAAATGAAAGGTTGTAATGATCACCTTCACTTTCCCTCCCCACGTTCCCCCAGTCGGAATTATAACACCCTATGCAGCCTAGCAATACATGATCTGAAATGAAGTCCTCCGTCAGAAGCATTCCCCTGTATTGATAGATTACTCTGGTGTGTTGATAAATAGTACACAAAACTTGACTGAAAAGTTTCCCCATTTCTCCTGAGAGAATGATGCAAATGACAAAACCACACAAACCATATTTTGGAATAGGAGGAATAACTATAGAAGCCTTTGTTGTATGAAAATCAAACTCACTAGGAACTTGAGCACCCGGAAAGTAAAATAAGTCCATATCATAAGGTCTTATATTCTTGTCGAATGGAGCAAATGGCCGATTGAATGAAATTCTAGGGTGTAACATGCTCTGGGGTGAACGGAGTCTTTGTATATTCTCATGTATTAATTGTCGAATGGAGCTAATGTCCAAATGAATGCAATTCTGTGCTCTCAAGCTTCGCAAGCTAACGGGAAGTTTTGGTAGGGACTTAAGTTTCCTACAATCATTTAAATCAAGAGTTTCCAACATTGAATTGTTTTGGATGTTGTCAGGGAGTGTTTCTAAGTTGCGGCACCCACTCAAATGTAATTCTTTTAAAGACGGCGTGCCATCAAGAATGAGCCAAAGACTCGATGTAGTGATTTGTGTACATCCTGTAAGGTGCAGTCCTGTAAGATTTTTATTACACATCAATGAAGAAAATCCATGTACAACAGCGCCCCATAAAGACTGCTCCATTATTTCCTCTGATGTCACCGAAAATTTGGCGAGAGAAGAATCAGAGAGCTCCAGTGTTTGGAGAGATTTTAAATGAACGTTATTTTTCAGACTTCCAATCTTTTTGCATCCATTTAATTTTAGGTTTGTAAGCTTGGGGGTACTGAAAATGGATGGATGGAGTTGGCAAAGACTCTTACAATAAGAAAGGGATACTATTTGAAGATTTGGGGCCCTTGATAAATCTGGAATCTCAATCAGGTCTTCAGAATAATCAAGATCAAGAATCATTAAATTGTCAAGTCTCTATATGAGAAAAAAAAAACATCACATTATTGAGAAATCATTAAAATAAGTTCATGATCACACATAAGTCTTAACTAAAAGGGAATTAAAACTTAATTAAAAATATATTTAACACATTAACAAAATTGTACCTGAATTCCATCCCAAAGCTTTTTAAGCTTGCTATGCTGCATTTTCAGCTTTACAAGAAATTCTGCTGAAAAGTTTGATGGCAAAGACTCAAGTGGAAATGAATCCCAATGAAGATGTCTCAACTTATCAGACAACCACTCAAGACCTTCACAGAGATGCAGTCTACATTCATTATATGTAGTGATATGAAGATGTCTTAAGTTGGCCATGCTTTTAAAGGAATCAGAGCTCAAGTACAAATCCCCAAGTTGATCACTATTAAATACTATAGCTTCAACAACTTCAGTTCCCTAGAAAACAAATTTAGAGTCATGATTAGGAAGGGCTGACTTACATATTAATCTTATTTATATTTCATCCATTTTCATATACAAGTAAATGAATCTCTCACTTACCTTGTTATATTTCAATACATCATACACATCCTTTTGATCCCACAATCGGCTTCTTCTTCCAGGGTCTTTGACAGATTCTTTCATAACAATCTCTTTTCCCATTTCTTTTAACAAATCATGCATTTGGATATAGGGTTCCTTATAAGAATATATGAGTGCTTTATATTGAAGAACTTCTAATCCACTCTCTGCAAAAAACTCGCAAGCATTCCATACTGCTGTTTTGTAATCTTTATCATCAAGATATTCATAATAAAATTCTGATTTGAAGAAGCATGCAATGTCTAGAAATATGGCTTGTTGAGTAGAATCTAAATCATCAAAACTCAATTTTAACACATCATGGATTCTCTTATTGGGATTTCTTTTGAGTTTCCCCAACTCACTTTCCCATGCTTCTTTACTTTTTTTTGTACGAAAATTTGCACCTAAAACTTTCAAAGCTAGGGGATTGCCTCTACAAAAAAGAATCGCCCTTTTTGATAGATTATCATATCCATCCTTAGGACATTTTTCTCCAAAAGCATTCCAACAGAATAATTGAAGAGATTCATCTGCATTCATCTCCTCAAACTCATATATTTCACACTCGTCAAATTGACTACATATCTGCATATCTCTAGTTGTGATAATGACTCTACTTCCCTTTCCCAAGCAACTATTGACTATGTTTACATTTTCTGCTTGCTCTAAGGTTGCCACATCATCCAACACAATGAGACTTTTTTCATGTGCAAGTCTGTTTTTGAAAATTGGGGTTTCTACATAAGGTGCATTGAGAGGAAACTCCAACAATGTAGAAAAAAGTTTGTTACGTACAAACTTGAGTCCATGCTTGGTTGATTCTTCCCTTATATTTTCAATAAAGCAAGTACGTTCAAATTGAGAACAGAGTCTACCATATAAATGTTTGGCCAGAGTGGTCTTTCCTATGCCTCCCATTCCCCACAATACAATGGTTCTAACATCATTTGACCCAATTTTCAGTAAAGATTCCATCTTTTCATACTTTGTATCAATGCCGACAAGTTCCTCGTTAACTTCAAATGGGGATCTCTCGCACAATTTTTTCAAAACATCTTTTAGAATGTCCTTAACGAAATTTGATTCCATCCTACCATTATGAATGGGAGTGGAAAAAGGTCAACATTTATCCTCAACATGATTGACCAATAAACAATGGAAAAATAGATTTAGAATAAATTCGGTAGAAAGTTAGTTTTATTTACCAGTAATTTTGAGAGTTCCATCCAGATAAATTGGCTGCTTCGGTGAGTGCATCTTTCCATTTCTGCAACTTGTCTTTGTTGTGTCTCAGATCTTGCTCATGTTTTTCAAAAGCTTGCTGATAAGTTCCAGATTGATTCCTGACATCAGATGGTTCTATATCATAGAAAACAGGTATGACAATCTGTCTCCGATCTCTCTTGCATTCTAGAATCTTAACGAGTTCATTCAAACACCATTTTGAAGATGCATAGTCTTTTGAAAATATGACTACAGATGCGCCTGACCCCTCAATGGCTTTGTTGAGTGCTGGTGAGATCTCATCCCCCTTTTCAAGCTCAATGTCAATAAATGTTAGAACTTTTTTGTTAAGAGCTTCATAAAGATGGCTCGTGAAGGTTTTACGAGTATCCTCACCACGAAAGCTAATAAAAACATCAAATTTTTTCAAAGATGCTACCTTAGAAGATGAAGAAGAGGAACCTACGTATTGTTGCATAGCCATAACAAATCTCCAAGTACTCTGCTCTGGTGTCTTTATTATAGAAGTGTTTATACAAAGCAGATCATTAGTTAAAAGATAAAATAGCAAGTGGTAAGTTGTAGGAAGTTTCGTTGGGCTTCATGATTATTTATTTCAACACAGTATGCTGTCCCAAAGAAAAAGTAACGAATTGCTTTTTAACGTATGCTTGTCTTCTCTTTCTCCAACAATTGCTAAACATAAAATAGTTGGACTCATTCTTATCCTTTCATGCGATATATATTGTCATTTCCTAATAATGTAAATTGAAATTTGGTATCTTACATATTAGAGATAAGACAAAAGAGAGTCAAGCTACCACCCTTGTATAGACTTAGTGTATATATAGGGTACTTTCATGTGTATATTCAATACAATAATAATGTACTATTTCATTCACTCTTGCATCTCTCTCTTACTCTTTCTCCTCTCATTCTCTCTATAACAAAATTCTGTTACACATGATGAACCTTCATGTTCATCTTCACCAACTCTAGTATGGTATCAATCGTCGTTACAATCTAGCACGCTTCCGTCATCCATATCTTCTCTGCCAGCTCTGCATCCTCATTCTTGGAGCTGTTCTACTCTGCATCAAATCTGCAAGTTCACAGTTGCTCTAGCTCAGTTCAACAGAAAAAATGGAATCCGGCGACAATCAAGAATCCAGCGTCAAAGACTCACTTCCATCGCAACAAGGCATCCCTGGTTTTGGCTCAATGAAATCGAGCAATCAGTTTGGTCCAAAACTCTCCATTCAGCTGCAAGATCACAACTACCTTCTATGGAGTCAACAAGTCGAAGGAGTTATCTTGACACAGAAGATGCATCGCGTCGTTGTCAATCCGTAGATTCCGCCAAAATACGCAACCACTCAAGATCGTATCACATGTACGATTTCTGGCGAATATGAAACGTGGTTAGTTCAAGATCAAGCTGTGTTTAGTTGTTTACTCTCAACGATATCAGAGTCGATTCTTCCTCGTGTTCTTGCGTGTAAACACACATATGAAGTTTGAGACAAAATTCACCAGTATTTCACAGCACAGATGAAGGCTAGGGTTAGACACTAGGAGTTGAACTCAAATCCACCAAGAAAGGAACTAACACGATAACCGAGTGTGTGCTCAGAATTAAAGCCATAGCAAACTCACTCTTAGCTGTTGGAGATACCATCACTGAGCAAGATCAAGTTGATGCCATTCTTGATGGTCTTCCTGAGGAATACAATCCTTTTGTAATGCAGATGTATGGTACTCTAGTTCCACCATCTCTATGTGATGTTGAAGCCCTGTTATATGTTCAAGAAGCCCAGCTGGAGAAATTTCGACAGGACCTAGCAGCCTTCAGTATTGCTGTGAATATTGCTCACACAGGTCATGGAAATTCAAGCTCACAAAGTGATTACACACCCAACAATGGCAGGAACTCCATACTCTCCAGAGGTAGAGGCAGGGGAAGAACAAAGCCTTCCAATGGCAACAGACCTACATGCCAACTCTGTGGCAAATATGGACATGTTGTATCTTCTTGTTGGCACAGATTTGATGCAAATTTCATGCCTCCCAATCCTAATGAAACTCCAGACAAGTCAAGGAGTAACACACTGTCAAGTCAGGAGCAGTCTGCAGACAAGTCTCAAAATTCACAAGTTGTAGCAATGATGACTGCTACAAGCAAATCTAATGGCACAACCCAGCAATATAATCTTCCTGCAAAACTGGACTCCCAAGCATGGTTTGTGGATTCAGGTGCCTCTCATCACCTTACTCCATATGCTTCTTATTTACAGAATTCTAGGGTATATACAGGCAATGACAAAGTATATTGAGGCAATGACCACACACACAATTTTGCTCTCCACTTGTGCCTAAGTGCAAGTTGACATTGAATGATATACTTCATGTACCAGCTATTACTAGAAACCTTCTCTCTATTTCCAAATTTTCTCATGATAATCATGTCATCTTTGAACTCTTGTCTAACAAATGTTATATTAAATCTCAGGCTTCTAGACAAATTTTAGTTGAAGGAGTCCTAGATGCCAGTGGTCTCTACTGCTTTCCTCTTCTACCTTTGGAGTCCTCAAGGTCTCACGGTTTGCATACCACATTGAATAAGTCATGTCATGTTCAAAGCTATACAGCTGTGCAATCCACATCTACTTGTCAGTTGGGTAGTTCTAAAGATAATACATGTATAGTAGTACGCTATGGCATCATAGGTTAGGACATGCTAACTCTTCATCTGTTGCTCATATACTAAAGTTGTGTAATATTCCTCATTTAAAATAAACAAAATAGTTTTTGCAAATCATGTAATCTTGGTAAGGCTCATAGGCTTCATGCTCCTGTGACACATCATGTGTATAATAAAGCATTTGATGTAATACACTGATCTTTGGGGTCCTTCCCCCTCTCCATCTAGTTCTGGATTTAGGTATTACATTGCCTTTGTTGATGCTCACACAAGATATACATGGTTGTATTTTCTTAAACAAAATTCTGAGGCTCTAGGTGCTTTTAAATTGTTCCACAAGTTTGTTCAAACTCGGTTTCATCTAACAATCAAGTCAGTTCAATCTGACTTTGGTGGTGAATTCGGACCATTTACTCGGTTTCTGCATGATCTTGGCATAACACATAGATTAACTTGCCCTCACACCTCACATAAAAATGGTTCAGTTGAGAGGAAACAAAGAACCATTGTTGAGATGGGCCTAACTCTTCTAGCTCATTCATCTATTCCTCTAACATATTGGGATCATAGTTTTTCTACTGCTGTTTATCTAATGAACAGGTTGCCAACATCTCCTCTGACTACACATCATTCACCTTTTCATGCCCTGTATGACAAGCACCCTGACTACAAAACCATTCGTGTATTTGTTTGTGCCTGCTATTCCTTGCTCAAACCATATAATCAGCACAAACTGTAGCTCAGAAGCCAGGAATGTGTCTATCTTGGAGTCTCTCCTCAACACAAAGGCTTCAAATGCTGAGCAGTTCTGGAAAATTTTACATCTCAAAGGATATCAATTTCAATGAAGAACATTATCCCTTTCCTCATCTATTTCAGTCAAGTACCATACAGACCCTGCTCCTACAAATAAATCTCTTGCCTGTCCATCAAATAAAAAACAACAAGTATAGCACCTCAAGTCCTAGCTGTCACACCTATAAACTTTATCCCATCAGTTCATAGCATGGATCTTGAAACTACTCAACACATGTCTAGGAACTTAGACCCTTTGCCAATACCAATGTTTGAGCAACCTAACCAACCTAATCTGATTCTAGACCCTGTCAACACCAATTCACCTCCTCTTGGTACTCCTACAACTCATATGAAACCTACTACCTCACAGGCTACTCAAGGTGAATTTTCAAGTGCTCCCAATACTATTCCCACTTTAAAAGCTATCACACATCACACCTCTGAAGCAGAACCCTCTACATATCTTGACAATGCTGCTCACAAGTCCATAGACTCTAATGACAATCTGTCCAGCTCAGAGCCTAAGGCCCTTGCTTGTCTAGAAGGTAATACATCACCCCTATCAACTACTGAAAATGCTCATAACTCCACCCCTCTAGGAACACCCTCACATTCAACATTTTCTAGTTCCAAATCTGAGTCCTCTCAATCCCCTTCTATTCCCAATCATAGACCTCACACTTCACTCTTGGTTAATGATCATCCAATGCTGACCCGAGCCAAGACTGGGAGATCTGAACCTACCACTGTCAAACAAGCTCTATCACATATGGACTCTTACAACACTACCACCTGAGAGGAAACCTGTGGGTTGTAGATGGGTTTTCAAAATCAAGGAGAATGCTGATGGATCTATCAATAAGCACAAAGCTAGACTTGTAGCCAAGGGATATCATCAAGAACATGGTTTTGACTACACTAAAACATTCTCCCCTGTTGTTAAGCCCACCACCATCAGAATAATTCTTACTTTGGCTCTCACACACAAATGGGACATTCAACAAATTGATGTCAACAATGCCTTCCTCAATGGAACTCTGACTGGTGAAGTTTACATAACTCAACCTCCAGGCTTTGCCATATCTGACAAGACACTTATATGCAAGCTACACAAAGCTATCTATGGCCTCAAGCAGGCCCCACGGGCCTGGTATGAAAAACTGGCACAAGCTCTTATCCATTTTGGGTTTACCACATCCAAGTGTGATAACTCTCTGTTTTTCTACTGCTCTCATGGAACTGTTTTGTATGCTCTTGTGTATGTAGATGACATACTGATTACAGGCTCTGATCAGAATCTGATTCATACCCTAATCCACCAACTCCACACTGAATTTTTTTTGAAAAAGCTAGGCAGACCAAATTATTTTCTTGGCATTGAAGTTAGTTTTCAAACAGATGGCTCAATGCTTTTGACACAATCCAAGTACATCAAAGATCTCTTGTTTAGAGCCAACATGGTCAATGCTAATGGAGTTCCAACCCCCATGATGATCGGCTGTAAACTCAGCAAACATGGAGCTTTAAAGTTGACAGATCCTTCCTTCTATAGGTCTATTGTGGGCGCGTTGTAGTATGTGACTTTAACAAGGCCATACATTGCCTACAGTGTCAATAAAGCTTGTCAATTCATGTATGATCTTCTAAACACTCATTGGTCTGCAGTTAGACAGATTCTCAGGTATTTAAGTGGTACTGTCTCATATGGCTTACAACTTTCTCCATCGACTACAACCTCTAAATTATCACTGCATGCCTATAGCGACTCTGACTGGGCCAGTGACCCAGACGACCGAAGGTCAACCTCTGGCTCGTGCATATTAGTTGGTCCTGTCGCTACTGCAAAAAAAGGGGGCGACAATGACTAACAGAGTCGCCACCTATCGTTATTTATCCCAAAGAAGGGAAAGGAAACGATCGTAAAAAAACCTGACGAAAACGGGAAAAGACGAGGTCATCGCAACCAAGTCCTAGGTTCGGGAGTC